GAAATATTTCAGTTGGTGTGCAATGAATCTGAAATATATGAAAGTTTCATTTTTATCATTACATTATGGAAAATAATGACCTTTATCACAATATGCTATTTTTTGAGAAGGACCTGTATATACATTTTCCTTTGTCCCCCATATCTTATGATTCGTTTAAGATATTTAATTAAACTTCATACATATATGCATCATCTCTAGATGGAGTGTCCCATAATTTTTCATTACCCTAGCGTCAAGGTCAAGATCACAAACCAAGGTCAAACTTAAAACAAGGTAATTTCTTCTCCTGGCCATAATTTCTAATCCACTCAAAATAATATAACAAAACTTGATCCACATTTGTAGCACCACCATAGCTGCCAAGTAATCTTTGCATCATCCCAGCTCTAAGGGCAAGGTCACAAATCAAGGTGAAGTTTATACAGTTTATTCCCCAGACCATAGCTATAGATTGCTGTATAATAGTTGGCAGGGTTCTGTTATGTGTATGTGGTACACTTCTTAATCTATTTAATAAAAGCTGTACTAATGTGCTAATCTCTACATTAAAATACTTGAACCAGGGCAGGTACAAGTTGTAGTTCTACTTGACTGGCTAATTAGTTTGCTGTAAATATTTCCTTACAGTTTATAACTGGAATAATTTATAAGATGGTAAGAACAAAGTCTTTACACTGCTGAGAAAACATCCCTGGATGCCAACACCTTTACTTTTCCTGCTTTACTTGTTATCCCGATTGTCCGACAGGTTCTTATCATGGTAAATGTGGCATTGCTCAGTCCAACCTTGTATTTAAGCTCTAGTTGATAAAGATTTATTAGATTTCAGGGTGCCCAGCAATGGTTTAAAGAAACTTATAGCAACAGCAGCTGTTTAAGAATTGGAACCTTTCCTTGTTAAAGCACCTCTAGCTAAAGCTCACACCACCTACCTCTGCTTATAATTATAACCCTTTGCTACACCCCTATTTCTTCTTTTCAGACAGACTCAGCCATGCAAGGTGCACTACTTGGCCTGTGTTTGCAAAAGAAATTAGTACATAAATTGCTGTTCATATTTCTGCCTGCTTTGTCCGTTTATTTATGCAGCAATGTTGGGAAGTTTTGACATGCAATTGTGGTGCTCAATGAAATGCCAACAGGGCCTATTTTTATCTCTTTGATAGCAGTTACACAGAGAAGTGCACATAATATACCACCTGTCATAAGTGATGTTGCTTTTATTACCTGGAAGTAAATTACTATAGAAGTTCTGTAAGCAGAAGCACTTTGGCAGCTGTCTCAGGGCTGATGGAAAATAAACAAGGACAGTTCCTGCTCGTTGACTGAGCCTCTGTGTCATCTGTTAGCAGGATGTGCTGACACTTACACAGAATGCAAACAAGCTTCACTCTGAAACATCTAGTAGGATCAGATAGGGCAAGTAAAGATATTATGCAATCATTTGTGAAATAATAAAAACTGCATTCTGCATTTTATCTGTAAAGGGTCAAAGCTATGTGTTCTCTCGAATTTACCACCTAATTTAAGATAAATATTGTTTTAAATATTCAATGAAGGTGTGATTTTCCATGTCAGTGTTCCAGTTAAAGCTTTTGAAGTGCAACTTTTTTTTTTCTCTGACCATGGACAAAAGTTTTAAAACAATCACAGAAGTATTTTGACCCAAAAACTCGATCAGATCAAAGCTTAGTTTTTGAAAGGGCTGGTTCAGATATCTGATGTTAATCCATTGTAGGTGTTGTTGAAAACAACAATTACAGGTTTCGAGACAACGTTCATCCCATTTGTTGACTTGGGTTGTCTTACGTTATAAAGCTGTACTTTTATACGGCGTCATGTTCTACAGAATTAAAATTCACATTGATAGTTTTTACTTTCATCAATAAAGGCTTTATGTTATTCCCTTTTGTATGTAGTGTGCTAAAAGGCTCGATTAGCTTGGTTAGCTTCAGAGCTCCACTACAATCAATATTTAATAACGGGTTCTCTCTTTTTCGAGCTACTTGACAGATATGTGACAGAGGTACTGTGCGTAAATGGTTTAATCAGTGACATGAGACGTTAATTTTCTTTGACCCATCAAAATAAATGTGGTCATTTATTGAACAGAATCAAAATTTAACATCAAACATTGTACACTTGATTATACTGATCAGCTCTGATTACTAAAACTTGGCACGTTTTACTTAATAAAAACAACAGACATTTCTGAAGATATCTGGATTAATTACTGGCAAGATAGAAGTTTAAAGATGGGAAATGAAGGAGTTTAAATGGAGGGAAAGATGGATGAGGGAAAGTGTGTTGACGAGGAATGGCACCCTTCATCCGACCCCAGCTCAGCCCCGGAACACTCGGTAGTGAAGCGACTCGTTACCTTTGCAGAAGATAGGTCAGCTCCGGTACGGAGTTCCATTTCAGCGTCTCCTCAGGATGGCTGAGAATCGTCCGAAGTAGTGACGGTACTCCGTTCAACAACACGCTCACCTCCTGGGTAGGTACACAGCGAGCTGTGAGTCCGTCAGATGTTCCACTCAGATGTGGAAGACTCCATAATCCCAACTCAACTCAGAAGACTGAGTCTGAGAAAAACTCAGAAGAACTCAAAAGACTCGGAGGAACTCCAGAAGAACCAACGGAACTTATGCCCCTTTTCCACCGTCACAGAGCGGATCAGATCGGTTCGGGTCTGTTGTGTTTCCATGTACATTTCTGGACCGGCTCTGTAGGCGGGGACTATAATCCAACTCGTCTTACCACCTGGTGGCGGTAGTGCTCCCT